CCATTATATACCCATTATGGTAACCGTAAACCCTAAACCCTAAACCCTAAATCCTAAACCCTAAACCCTAAATCCTAAATCCTAAACCCTAAACCCTATTTAAGTTCCTTAACAGCAACCCAGTCATAGTACGTGTCATGGCAGGTTTGCGGGTACCTTCCACAATAATGAGCTCGGCTGAGACAGACCAAGGCTGTCTAGGTGAGTAGTACCTAAACCCCAAAAGTATGTAAAATAATAGCCCTAAGCCCATAATAATAGCCCTATTTTTCATACTTTTGGGGTCCAGGTATTTCCAAAAAGGGGACGACTGTCTGCAATGAAGAGTAAGATCTCGTAACTCGTAGATGCTCTTTTTGGGCATCGCATGTTCCATTCAAATCCATGGGCCCTCAGTCTGCAGCAGGAGGGTCGCAAGATCGTGACCGTGAAGGATGTTGAGCCGGAGCAGTTCATCAAGGCTTTCTCCCAGCACTTGAAGCGACAAGGCTTGACTCCCGGAGTTCCCCAGGGCTGCGTGAGTTGATGCTTCAGGGTGTGCAGGGTGGTGACTAAGGCCGCTTCGAGCTGCCCAAGTGGGCGGATGTGGTCAAGACCAGCAAGGCCAAGGAGCTGCCACCCTCCGTCCCTTGGCAAAGTGTATATGCTTTATGCGAGCACACTTTCAATTTTCTGTTTCAAGGCAGGAGATGCTGCAAAGGACAGCGCAACTCATCCTAGGACCCAGACTGGCTGTACGTGCGAACCGCGTCCATGGTGCGAAAGATCTACATTCGCAAGGGCATGGGCGTTGGCAGCCTGACTGAACTGGTGCTGGCGATGCTCAGCATTTCCGCCTTGCTGCATGTGCCAAGGTGCCTTCAAGAAGGTGTACGGTGGACAGAAGCGCCGAGGGACCTGCACGAACGTCTACGCTGAGCCCTCAGGTCTTGTATGTCCCTAGGTCTTAGACTTGGATGTGCTACAGGCTCTGACAGACATGTTCATGGGTGAGGGCCCTTGAGTTCCGTGATATTATGTTAACTTCTGACGTTCTGAGACCAAAGCCTCCGGCAAGATCGCGCGGTACATTCTGCAGCAGCTGGAGGATACAGGGCCAGTTTGTGAAAAGCATCAGTGCGCATGCTGCCCTAGGCGCACGTGCCTGCCATGAGGATTTTCGTGAGTGTTTGCTAGGTGGCACAAGATGCACACTCAAAACACCCAGCGCTTGTTCCAGGCACCCCGAAACGGATTCATATGATTTGGACAACCCGTCAGGAGATGGGCCTCGTTGAGCAGGACGACCAGGGAGGCAGGATGATCACGAAGGACTGCACAGTGATGATGGCGCATGCTGGGACCTGGTCTTGGGCGCCATTACAGATATGGGGTTTACAGGGGCTATATGGGGATAGTGGAGAATCAGCTCGAAAAGCACGTGGAAAATAAAATCGAACCTGAGGTTATACCGCGAAAAACCGTCAACCCCTTGTAGTTTGCATTTTCTTTTGGATTACTACGAGGCCCCCATATAAACCCTGAACCCTATAGTAGCCTCCATGTTCTTTTTCCTTCGTCCCTATATAACCCCAACATATATCCTATAATCCCTATCTAAAAACTTTAGCACCTTGAAAGGACCCTACACTCTAAACCCCAGAACCTGAACCCTCAACCCCCAACCCTAAACCCCAAACCCTAAACCAGCCAAAGCTCTCCAGGAGGGCCAGCGTGAGTTGGACACTGTGGCAGTGCAGGCCGCAGCCGAAGAGGCGGGACACGCGAAACCTGCGGCTTAGGGTCTAGGGATTAGGGTCTAGGGATTAGGGTCTAGGGATTAAGG